ATTCTATTCTATTCTATTCTATTCTATTCTATTCTATTCTATTCTATAAATATATCTGGCCAATGCTGGAAAAAAAGTTGAACTAGAAAAGTTTTGAACAAATCTGATAAGGGAAACTTTATATTCCTGTATTAATTTATGAATGTTCTGCTTTCAGGAAAGGCAATAAAACTTTTTCTTTTGGTGATTACAGTTCCAAACATCCTTAGTTAACAGAACCAATGCAAAGATCAGTGATAATGGAAATGTTTGTTGAAAAGATCTATAGGATAACAATCTGCTCTAATTCTACATACTGATAACCATTCATCAAATTTATCTACCGATAACTGAAATAAGGTACAGCATGGGTAAAGAGAATCTAAAATGCACAACCTATCAGAAATAGACTGCTTCAAACTCAAAAATGAATCATAAATTATAGAAACCAGATTCTGAAGCTGCATTCATTCTTAGACATAACTTAATTTTGCAGAGCTAATACCAATTAGGATTTATTTTGAATGGTAAACTATCTATGGTTTAAGAATGTTAGATTGAGACACAGCAGTGACTATCTGGATTAGGGTTATTATTGTGAAATTATTATTTTTTTATTTTATCTTAATCCAACTTTTAGAGATAATACTCTTAAAAGCATCATTGGAAGCCCTAAATCAGGCAAAGCTAATCTGTACAAAATTCACAGGTATTGCTTAGAACCATCTTTAATTAATTTTACTGTTCCAATGATTTGCAAGAAAATTCAATGTAGAAGTGTCTGCACAATGAGGATTAATTTTTCTCTCATTTAATGGGCGTGGTGTTATCCAATGGAACAGAATACTGTTCAGTATTCAGGTTAGATAAAGAGGAGAATTTCACCAACTTTCCTAAATTAAACTACAAAATTTACTCCAATAAGATGAAAAGATGATTATCTCTCTCTTTTTTTAGGAATTAGTCAAATTTAAGATATAAAATTTTCTCAGTTTAATAACAATAATTCAAATCCAACAATAATCAAACATAATTGCTTTAATATTAAACATTACAAACAATATAACAATTTAATAAGAGGGGGTGATATTTTTTAAAAGCTGCTTAAAACCAATCAAAACTAACTATAAATTAAGCTGTAGTCATGATGGCTATGAAATGCTTTTCGTATCTGAGGCAGCATTTCTGAACACCAGCTGCTAAGAAATAACAAGAAAGGGCTATTGGCCACATGTCCTATTTGTGATGGCCCCAGAAGCAGCTGGTTGGCTACTATGGAAACAGAATTGTGGACCATATTGGCTCTTTGATCTGATCCAACATGGCTATTATGTTCTTATGACTGTAATTAAGAATTAAAGCATAGGAGTGAGCAGAATTTTCTTCAAGTGGCAAGGTTCTCCTCTCTTCATTTGGTCGGATTATCAAACTAGAGACACAGAATCAAAAGTTAGAGGCAAAATCAGGACATTTTTTGCTACTGCTGTATAGGAAAAAAAATTATAAAAAGACAGCACGGATAATCTCAGTAATACAAAGAGATGTTCACAATTGTATCCGGAGACCTATTTCAAATACTTCTCATTGCTGGGTATTTCTAAGGAAGCATAGCATAACTATAGCAGTATATCCTTAGATAACTCATACCACCAAAAAAAAAAAAAACCCTAAGCATAAAAAAGAGCTTCAACAATGAAACTGTGTTTTGTATCTTTCCTTTTCTTATAATTTCTTTTAAAAATACAAATAAATGAAAATACCTAATAACGTTCGTTTAGAACAGTTGTGAAAGCAATACCACTGGGAGCATGTAGACTCAGTATTAATATTTACAAAGATCTTATATCGCAGAAACATACGTGAAAATTTAGTTATCTGTTGTTGTTGCTTCAGAATGTAGTCAGATCTGTTTAGAGGGTGCATGTTTAGTTAGTGATCAAATTTTCACAAATTTCCAGGCAAAACAAAAATATTGTGCCCCCATTAGAAAATAAACACAAACCCTCTTTTTAATAATAATAATAACAAGAGGATGTCACTTAGAACTGCCTGAACATTTTATTCATTTATATTCAGCTCAGACCATTTTTATGTCAACCTGAAAGCAACAGGCAATCAACCCAAGATTTTAACATTACTGTATGTTTCGATCCCTCACCCGCCTCGCTGTACTTTGCACCAGAAAGTGTGGTAACTCAATTATTGCCTCCTCCATCCCTCCCTGCCCTTCTATTAAGGTGATGATAATAGACTTTAATTAAGGATTATAGAAGCAATGACACTGCCCAGGAGATCCATGATGCAGCTTTTCACAAGAGTTTCTTCTCATCCTTGGCAAAAGCTTGTAATGTGACAGAGGAAGTTAGGCAGCTTTAAGTAACAGGAGGATGAAGAAGGGGGGAAAAAGCAGAATTGGGGAAAACCAGCTGGATCACTTCAAGTACCGGCTCTTCTGTACAAAAAGTAATACCCATGAAGGATAAGAATCATCCATAATCCATAACTGCTACTATTATTTGTGGGAAAGTATATTTCGTTATGAATTAAAAGTTGTTGTACCCACCAGTGTGTATGTATGTGTGTGCGCGTGTATATATATATATATATATATATATATATATATATATATATATATATGTGTGTGTGTGTGTGTGTGTGTGTGTGTGTGTGTGTAT